AAAAATAAAGTTTTAACAGTTATACATTTGATGCTAACAAAACACTAAAAATATAAGCTGGTGTGCCACTAATTAAAGACTAAAATGTTTGCAAAACATACATGCATCATTGTTCTAGGAAAATTAGRTGTTGTGATTCCTGTATTTTTCATGGTTTAGTTTTCTGTCATGGTTTCTTTTCATGTTTAGTGTTTTATTACCTCCCAGTATTTTCTTTGTGCTAACAGTCCATTTCCCCAATTCTTTTCAGTAGTCATCCTACCTGGCCCACTTAAACCTGTTCCTTGTTTCTTCAGTCACAGCTGCAGCCTCTCTTCTCATCAGAGCCAGTCCTAGTAATCCCTTAGCTTCACCTGACTCATCCGTTGAGCRTTGTTTTGCTTTATGTGACATCTAATTCAGGCCTTGTAAATATTTTTGTTGCCACATCAGCATCTTGTTTTATTTGTTTGTTTGTTTGTTTTTGTTTTTTTGGAAAAGAGTCAGTCTGCTACAGGTGAAACTTTCAGGATGTTAAATTCATAGCCTTAGCCTTTAGCCTTGGATAGAAAAATAAATTCYAAGAACATTTCATTGCACAAAGGTCAAAGTCAACAGTCCTTGTTCAGCTGATGTGACTTGGAAGCCTTTATAGAACTACATGAAAAACTGTCATGCAGCTGTGATCAATATGACCTCTTGTAGTACATTGGCAAAATATTTTCTACCAACATAAATCTGTTGCAGCTTCCAGAAATATAATCATAAACTGTGTAACTCCCAAAAGCATCCAAATCTAAACTCTCCACATAAATACTATTTATAGATAAAAAGTGTTTGTGTGCAAAATGACCTGCCTGCAGTTAAGACCCGTCTACTATAAAAAAAGAAAATTCTGTTTCATTGCATAAGCTGCCAAACTACAATCCATTAAGCACTGAAAAATTTGCACGCAACTAGAACAGATAGTCTACCTCTGACTAAACTTAAACAACTTCAGCTCTGAAATTATTAACTGGAAAAAAAGTTTGCAACACAATAGCATTTATTTTTCAAGGGTGATTAATGAAGCACCAGATTTATTTTGTGTTTGTTTCATTTAAGTTGTACTGCCCTGTAAAC